GTTTGGTTGTATTTGATTGTATGATGGAATGGAAGCGTGTGTTTGATTGGCTAACGTGAGCCCCCCACTGTCACACAGTTCTTCGTTTGGTTGTATTTGATTGGATGATGGAATGGAAGCGTGTGTTTGATTGGCTAACGTGGTCTGTTTGATTCGGGGTTTTGATTGGTCCATGTGGTCTCAAACGACCAACTTCCATTGGTCCAATCTGAAAATACGCTTCGCTGATTGGCTGCCATCTGCTTTCTTTTTTCTGCAGAATATCCAATATATCGTCGTCTCATATTGCGACGGTACGATAGGCTCACGACGTTGCACCGACTGACGGGCGACGCGCGCGGCACCAGCGGCATCGAGGCGGGCTTCCTCGTCGCGATCGTGGAAGGGCTTCGGCAGACGCTTCTGTGGGTGTTTGTCGTGTCCGCAGGTGTCCACTGGACGGCGCTGTCGACGCCAGGACTTCGCCGCATCCACATGGAGTCTGGTCGTGTCGTCGGGGTCTGGGTGCTGGTCATCATCTCTCACTTTGTCGTGTTGTTGCTGTACGTGGTGCAAAACTACAGCGTCCTCAAGTGCACGTACGTCGACTACCTGCGCAACTCGGCGCAGACATCGATCGACAGGACTACTAGTACTACTAGTACGATTGCAACCTTGAACAGCACGACCCAGCAGCTGTGGCTTCCACTGCTCCAACCCGCCGACTGGAAGTATGGCGTCGACAAGGTCTGCGTGGACCGAACCGGCGGCGCGTTCGTGTTGACATTCGTGCCGCTGCACCTACTTCCGCTGGTCGTGCTAGTGGGGCTCGTGGTCGTGGGGTGCAGTACGAAGAAGACACCTACTACGACTAGTAGTAGTACTAGTACTACTACGACTCCCATGCACGACGACCACGTGCCGCTCCCAGTAGTCTCTGGATCACCAAACGACCACCGTTCTCGAACTCTGTCGCATACGACGACGACTCGTCCCCCTTTCTCATGGATTTCCCGCCTCTGTGCTGTGCTGGGGATCATGCCATTAGCCGTGCACCATTTCCTCACGTTGTATTTATATGCGACAAGTCAACACCTGCCGCCTGTGATGTGGTTGGTCGTGGGCGAGTACCTTCCCATGTTGGCGCCGACATTGGGGTACTTGGTGGTGCAGTGGACATCCTCGACGGGTGGCGGTGGGATGCTGCTGGACACGCGCCTGTCGCACATGATCATGCGATCGACCAATCACGAACAAGACGCGTCGGAACAGTATCGCATGCCCCAGGACGACACCAACAACCACGATGACAATGTGATTACGTCATCATCACTCAAGACAACGTCCGTGGCCCACGTGGCGGTGATAACGTCGTCATCATCCATGGGACAAACAACGGCATGTGACAAGGTCGTCGTCCACTTGTCCCATGTGGTGGACGACGACCCAGGGTGGTCCACAACCGTACACACGTCCAAGGATGAACTCGTGACCATCCCGTGGTATCCGGATGCGCGAATCCGATGCATCGTCACGACGGTGTCACACATGTCGGCGGTGGAGTCAGTGTTTGAGCTCGGCAGTTTACGTCAAGCGTCGCATCATGTGACATGGAAAACCACCTGCGACACGGGGACGGTCACGATTTCCCTCGTCCGAGTGGATAAGACCGTGACCAAGCCCGTGTCGTTCACTGACCCGAGTGTCGACTCTGTCGCAGAAGAGCTGCGGGAACTGCCGTGGCCAACCGCCGTCGCCGTCCAGTACGTGGCCACGTGCGTGCTTCCGACGGTTTCGGTTCTGGCGGACCGGGCCGCCGAGGATCTCGCCGCGACGTGCGCCCCGACGCCCCGACCCGATCAACACCCCATCGACCAAATCCAGGTATTTGATTTGGACGAGTATTTTTTCGAAAGAAAATATCATTTATGTGTCGACGTAAATGAATGCTCATTTATTGACCTCGAAATCCGTTTCCATTGGTGTTTCTATATATATATATATATATAAAAATGGAAACGGATTATATATACTAGTATATAGAAACACAAATGGAAACGGATTACATATATATATATAATAAAATCAATATATATATATATAAAAAGAGAGAAATAAACACACAAATGTATATATATTGATGGGATAGGATGAGTGGGAAGCAGACGTGGTGCAGACGTGGCTACGTCAGCGGTGGACCAAGCGCGCCGAGTATGCCGCGATGCTCACGACCGGCAGCAGCATTCCTGCGACAATGTTACAACGACTGGACGAAGGCAAGTGGGTCAAACTCACGGCCGACGCCAAAACCAGTGCGCTGAGGTATATATATATATTGCCTTTCTTTTATCCAAAATTTGGTTGACTTTTGTTTTGCGGATTCTTTGCCAAATCTATCGATATGTCGGTTCTTTGTCCTGACTTTTTGTAAAGATCGTCCAATAAGTATCACACTAATTTCAGTACCACACTAATTCGGTGTTGCGTTGGTCGAAGACTTGATTGGCTACTTGATTATTGAAATCTGGGTTTGGCTTGGTCGATAGATCGATTGCCTGCCGATGTATTTGGTTGGTTCTTCTGCTCCCATACTGCAATTTCGAATCCACTCGACAATATATATAATATATACATGCCAGCCAACCTGATATATGTATATTTACGGATATGTAGGTTCTTGCCCTGCAATTTGCACGTCCAAGATCTCCACGTAATAGACGCACGGGGAGAGGCGGCCGCCGTGTATTCGACGCTGACCATGGGCGTATTTGCCAGCGATCACCCGACGCTGGCAGACACGGAGGGAAGTCCACAACATGCAACAGAGGAACATGAGACCACGTGGCACGCGCGGTACAAGGACGAAGTCCAGTGGTACACATGTGTGTGTCTGATTCCGAGTCTGATTCGTAGAACCAATATATGATTCCGTGTCCATGTACGCATGCATGTACATCTGATTCGGAGTCGGATTCGTAGAACCAATATCTGATTCCGTGTTTATGTATCTGAGTCTGATGACGTAGGGCCACGTGGGTGCGGGAAACGGAAACGAACGGCCAGGCGTTGGCGACGGTGGTCACAGCCGTGGTGGATCAGTTGAATACTCAGACGCAGGCGGCATCCCGTTGGATGGAATGGGTGGCCACAAAGAGTGTGGTGTTTCACATGGAGAGTCTCGTGTCGGACCACGGCAAGGAGCGGCAGATGCTCCGCGACTGCGCCGCCGCCATGGAATGGCTCCAATCGCATGTGACACTGGGGCTGGAACTGGAAGAAGAAGGGTCGAATGTCTATGTTGTGAATCAACGCGATGTCGTGACCAGTGTCAACCTGGTCGTGCAGGCATCTGATCCATCCCATATGTATGTATATATATATATATGTACATTATCACACATTCGGTGTCTCATGAAAAAGTAATATTGTTATATATATATATACATTATCACACATTCGATGTGTCTCATGAAAAAGTAATATTGTTGTCCTTTTCCCCAAAATTTGGCTGACTTTTCGCCAAATCGATCGATCGTTTCGTTGTCCTGACTTTTGTAACGATCGTCCAATAGTATCACACTAATTTCAGGAATTGGTCGAATGTGAGTGGATAATTTGATTGGCTCGTGGATTCGTGATCTGGGTTTTGATTGGTCGATATATCGACTGTCTGCCGATGTATTTGGTTCTTCACATATCCAAGTTCGAATATATCGATCGGCTTGACAATGCCACAGGAACAGCGCCAAGGCGGCGGTGCATGTGGTGTTGAGAGTGCGTGAACGATTTTGGAACCACGTGCACGAACTCATAGGGGGGGGTCCATGCCACGACGCAACGCACCAAGGGGGGGGTCTTGGTTTTCGTGAACCACCCAATATGGCAACTGGGGTTGTCCGCATCACGGCGCTGCTGTTCACGCAAGGCATCGACGAAAGCCAAACGCTGGCGAATAAGACGGGCGGGCTGTTTAAAGAAACGTTTCCGGACGTGGTGAACCAGCGCAGCGTCGACCGCCTGGCCGCGTTTGTCCAAGACCTTGATGTATATGTTGAAGCCAATATGGCGCAAAAACTTGACCCGACTGATGTATACGTGTATGTATGGGGTGGTGTCTGTAGATGTCCCCAGATATTGCAGACGTGGTGCGCATGAAGCTGGCGGCGTTGACGCAAAGCATCCTGCAAGCCAAGCGCGAGCGCGTCAAGAAGAAACATCCAGAGATCCTTCAAGTGGCGGCGCACATCACGCGTCTGATAGGGGGAGCCGCACGGGTGACGGCGTGCGCGAGTGGGAACGACCGCACGGCCATGAGTGTGACGTTGGAACATGGTACCTCACGACACATGCTTCTCTGGAGACTCATGTACCATACTAATTACCCGTAGGATGGATCCTCGGTCACTTTCACCACGTGCCGGCGCCCGGTGTCCGCCGAGCGGTCGCCGCCATGCGCAGCGAAGGCGTGTGTTTGGATGTCATTGAGAAGAACAGAGGCACGCGGCAGTACTCGTTCAGCTCCCTCCAGCGCTCCATGCTCCCAGAAGCCTACCGATGCCCCGAAGGCACGTACGACAGCTCCGCGGCCGGACGCTGTTGACATATTTATACATAACGTATCAACTTTCGCAGGTTATTGTATTATCCCAGGTTTAGTATGCATCCAGCATCTTATTACTACAGAACGTATCCACTTTCGCAGGTTTTTGATTTCAAGCGTTATTTTATTATCCCAGGTTTAGTATGCTGGTTGATCCAGCATCTTATTATTAGCACTAAACATACTATATAATATGAGTGTCTAAATATGCATACATTTTATGCATTGACGTGCCTACATTGAATCATTCTCGTGTTTGATTGGTCGAATCGGTGCCCTTCTGCAACTTCTGCGTGGAATCATGGACGTTGAGTGGAGCAAGAGAAGCGCTGCGGCATGGAAGGCGAGGTCGTGCTCGATCCGTAGCCCCATGAGGCAAAGCACTGTCAACATGACCGTAGTTGCGTGTACCCGCTGCACTGCAGCTGCGTACGACTCGACTAAGTAACGAACGAGAAAGGACGACCTTGGCGGACAAGGTACAGTATTCCCAGCCTCCGCCAGATCGTAGTACATACATCCCTACTACAACTCCCCAAGAGTTCCTGTGCGAGACATCGTTCAAGCGATGTGTGACCTCGTTGCTCTCTAGAGTAACTCAGCCCTAGATGCAGCACATTTGTCTCCGCGAATATGATCATCCATGGCCTTGTATCATTAAATAAACTTGTCTTATTGTGGGGTACTGTACTACTACGCTTCAGCCATCACTTGCGCACTTCCACTCCACATGCGCGGTCGGCCGCTCATGTCCCGCGGCACTCGAACCGCTTGCTCCATGAGTTCATCATGCATGCGTTTCCGCTTCTTCTCGGCCCTGGCTTCGTCGGCGGCGATAGCGCGCGACTTTCGAATCGCCAGCGCTTCGACGCAGAACGCCGCGATGTCCTGTACATGGTACTCTGCCCGTTTCAGCATGTCAATGCGCTCCAAGTGGGTGAACTTGCGCACGCTGCCTCGACGACAATGCGCCGACGTGCCTAGATCGACGTGGGTGATGTGTATGTGCGTCGGTGCGAGGCCGATGGGCGGGCCAGTGGCTTTCGGGAGCGCGCTGCCGCCATACGCGACGTCGAAGAGGTAGGTCGTGGCCGTGGTGAATGTCACGCGTCGTGGAGCGTGGACTTGAACGAGTAAGGCTTCGACATGTGTCGGGCTCTCGGCTCTGGTGGATGCCGCTGCTGGCTTCATGATGGGTTGTGGTTCCATGGGACTGTTTCGATGTGGTGCTGTTGCTGTTGCGGAATGCAGCACATTTGTCTCCGCGAATATGATCATCCATGGCCTTGTATCATTAAATAAACTTGTCTTATTGTGGGGTACTGTACTACTACGCTTCAGCCATCACTTGCGCACTTCCACTCCACATGCGCGGTCGGCCGCTCATGTCCCGCGGCACTCGAACCGCTTGCTCCATGAGTTCATCATGCATGCGTTTCCGCTTCTTCTCGGCCCTGGCTTCGTCGGCGGCGATAGCGCGCGACTTTCGAATCGCCAGCGCTTCGACGCAGAACGCCGCGATGTCCTGTACATGGTACTCTGCCCGTTTCAGCATGTCAATGCGCTCCAAGTGGGTGAACTTGCGCACGCTGCCTCGACGACAATGCGCCGACGTGCTTAGATCGACATGAGCGATGTGTATGTGCGTCGGTGCGAGGCCGATGGGCGGGCCAGTGGCTTTCGGGAGCGCGCTGCCGCCATACGCGACGTCGAAGAGGTAGGTCGTGGCCGTGGTGAATGTCACGCGTCGTGGAGCGTGGACTTGAACGAGTAAGGCTTCGACATGTGTCGGGCTCTCGGCTCTGGTGGATGCCGCTGCTGGCTTCATGATGGGTTGTGGTTCCATGGGACTGTTTCGATGTGGTGCTGTTGCTGTTGCGGATTTTCAACGAGAAGTCACGACTGAGTTAAACTATCCATTTGTATACTGTGCGGTGGGAAGTATCCGGATAACCAAGGAAATCAGATGGTTTGGATTTTGGAACTGGCAGCACCAGCGGCACCAGCGAGCGGCTGAATTGGCTGGTGCGCTCGCGTCCTCTGCTGCACTAAGCCTAGCAACGCGAGCCTTTTGCATGAAGACATCCACGACAGACACGACTTTGAATGCAGAATAGTAGGTGTAGCTGCCTCGTTCGGAGAAGCGGAACATGGCGACCGACCGCAATGCAACCTAAAGATAGCCAACGACGGGGCTGCCGTTTCTTTTCATACCACCGATACACATGTGGTGAAGCAGAGCATCGTGGATGACATCAAGTCCTTGCATGAAGAGCCTGGAGTGGACATGATGCTCCTGCGTGCTGCTCCTACTTGTGTGTACACGATTGCTTTGAGAACACAGGTAGGTACTGTCATTCGCGTTTCGAAAGTACGGCATATATTTGACGGATGTTCAATTCCATTTTAATTATACTATACATTTCACATGTTTCCAGATGCTTATTAATTCTAGGGTTTTGCTCTGACATGGATGGAATACTTGAACGATGCCGTGGGCATAAAAAAGGGTGGTGGGATGATTGAGACATGGAGCCCGGCTTGCTTCATGCGTGGGCCCCATCTTGTTCCTCGTACATGGCAAACCTCACAAGGATAATAGTAGATGTAAGTAGTTCCATTAAATACTCCTAGGACTTTCACTAACTACACTCTTTTAAGCTTCGATGGTCAATCTCGCGGAAGGATCCATCATGGTCATTCGTCGTCGAAACGGCGTGGCGCGCTGCTGTTGTTCCGACAACGTTTCCTCCAGCATGCGCTTCATGTGCTGCTTCTCGGCTCTGGCTTCGTCGGCGGCGATAGCGCGCGACTTTCGAATCGCCAGCGCCTCGACGCAGAACGCCGCGATGTCCTGTACATGGTACTCTGCCCGTTTCAGCATGTCAATGCGCTCCAAGTGGGTGAACTTGCGCACGCTGCCTCGACGACAATGCGCCGACGTGCCTAGATCGACGTGGGTGATGTGTGTGTGCGATGGTGCGAGGCCGATGGGCGGGCCGGTGGTTTTTGGGAGCGCGCTGCCGCCATACGCGACGTCGAAGAGGTAGGTCGTGGCCGTGGTGAACGTCACCGCCCGAGAGAGCGGTAGTGCCGACGGGCTGACGGGGTCAGTGGCTCCAGACATGGCTGTGGCGGTGATGGCTGTGGTGGTGGTCGCGGCTGGTTCCATATCGTTTCGGACTGATGTTTCGATGTGGTTGCAGCAAGTAGTTTGCAAACACCCGAAGGGATGTCGCGACTACTTTTACTTGCATTTTGTAAAGTTTGAGGTGGGGTGGCAAATTGTGCCGGATAAGTCCAGCCAATCACAAGGCACGCGACAATTTTGACAAAACCAAGTGAACGTGTTGCCTCCATCGATGGCACTTGCTCTACCGTCGCCGTCTTGACAGCTATGGTCGCGGCCGCCGCGGTGGTCCAGTAGGCCCCGACGGGAATGAAACGTCCAAAGAATGCATGGGCGTAGTCTGCCTTCCGAAGCTTCGCTTGGTTTGGCGACGGCTACGCGGAATGGACTCCTTCCAACGAACGTAACGGCAACAACTCTCCGTACGCTATCGGCAAGTTGTAAGGGTGACGATTACTTCTGCCTTGTTGTTGCTTTGGTGCTCCTTCAAAGAGACTTTCAGCGAGTGTCTGCATCTATACGTACGTATACTATATTTCTCACCACCACAACCTATAGTTCATGCCTTTTGAGCCCAGCGATCCGGTGTGGATTGCAGGCGACCTGACCACCTAAGGTGCATAATGCCCATTATCCACGCAAAAAGCACTTTTGATTTTGTAAGTATACTAAAACCTAATTTATTGTACTCTATATATGCTCAATTTAGCCGGTTACATCCATCGGAACACTGAGTGAACGTTTCGTTCTTGAGTTTTATTTCGATAGTAGGAACAAGATCAACATCAATTTAATACTACTGATCGTCGGGGCGCCAACACCGCTCGCCCCCTCCTTCTTGTCGGTTGCGGTCATAATGCTGCTGGACCAGCCAACCCTGACTACTGTACCAGAACAGCAGTACGATGGCCACGACAGTGAAAGGAAGAACTCTTCGCATAGATAAGTTAATCGCCATGCATGGCGCTAATGTGCGTTCTACGGCTGTGGCGTCATTCCCCTTGCTGGGTCAAACATCGTCTCGAGTCGTCTGTGGATTCCATCGCCTCGCATTCGTTCGTTTCATCTTGGTCATCGTCGTCGTGCTTGCGCTTGTTGTCGCCGCTGAGTTCATCGAGCGTTCGTTGTCTGGACTTGCGAATGTCGATGGCGTCCATACAAAACGTGGCGATGTCTTGAACATGGTACTTGGCGCGCTTGAGCATATCAATGCGCTCCAAATGGTCAAACTTGCGGACGCGACGACGGCAAGGCGGCGGTGGTTCCTCGCGCAAGTCTTCATGGAACTCGTCCGTGTGGACGCTGCACATGCCGATGGGAGGACCAGACTCCTTCGGGAGCGCACTACCGCCATATGCGACGTTAAACACGAACGTTGTGGCATTCGTGAACGTCACCACCCGAGGACGAGACACTGGCGCGGTTACTTCGAATAGCGCCTCTACATGTGTGGGACTGGCATCCTCCTCCATGACGTCGTTGTCCGTGATCGTTTCCTTGGCCAACGCCACCGCGGCGGTCGTAGCAGCATGCAACAGGTGCAACATGATGTCGGCGGCTTCTCCGTTCGTTGTCTCCATAGTTTGCTGGCGTTACTTCGACGGGGGCGGCGGTCAATGCGCGCGCTGTCACAACTCAATTCCATACTTGAGTTTGTATAGTCGTAGGCGGGGTGATCAAAACGTCGGATTATCCGGATGACCCTGGAAATTCGAACCAATCAAATCCAACGATAAGATTGGGTCAGCGAAACAACCTTGTTGCGCCGCCATCAATCTCAGGTCCACGGGCAACATGGCTACAGCTCTCTAACCCTTCCACCAGGTGCTAAATGCTTTCAGTAAGGCACGAGTTACATATATCGCTGGGAATGGCGGCAGTGTCATGTAGCTCATGTTGGTGGCTTATTGGGGGCAGGAGGTCAGATACAGTACTGTATTGCCAACAGCATGCACCGCCGATGCATATCTTGTGCAAGAAGACGCAGAATACAATATGTTTTACGAGAGCACGCATAACGTTATTAATACATTGGTACTAAGTTATCTTTGAGAAATGCACATAACTGTACTGTAGCGCAGAAGTCAGGACGTGGTCTACCACTGTAAGTTACTGTCGACTGATCTGACTCGAACCGTGATCATGGAGGCACAAAAGATTGTTACTGAGAAGGCCATACTAGTATGGACAAAGCCTTGGTCGGCCATAATAATATCTCCATCAGCCGTTCCATACCGGTACTAGTACCTCCAAGAGCTAGCTGCTCCCATACAATACCTCACGACAACAACGTCAACCAACCACCCGTGCATAATTTTATGGAATTCATGTCGTCCGGATAATCGAGCCAAGGTTCTATCCGGCCAAGGGTATATTTTTCATTTCTTTTGCCCAGCGTCCGATTGTAACGTCGGTGGCGCAACCCCTGTCTTCATGATGGAGGCATCCAAGCACATCACTCAGCTCATGGATGAGCTATGTCTGTGTGTCTATACTTGATGCAGAATGTGTCCTCTGGGTGCATGGGCTCCTCTCAATATTGCAAAACCATGTTTCCATTGACCAATACTATGTCCTACGAAGACGCGGTGTCATGTAATACTTTAGTTGCTCTTAGTTTAGTGGAGTTCAGTCCAATAATTCGCTCAAAGCTGGAATGTACATGCGGCGCCTCTTGTGCTCGACGAGTGTAGTCGTTGGCTCCACGCTATCGTCGTCTTCGCAATCTTCTAGATCGCCTGACATTCGTCGCTTGAGATATCGCAATGTCTTGGCTCTTGACGCTCGAATCTCGACAGCTTCTGCGCAATACGCAGCAATGTGGCGAGGATTAATTTCAGCCGCTTTGAGGAGCTCAATGCGTTCGAGATGGCTGAACTTTCGCACGCGACTTCTTCGCCGTTTGGGTGTCGTTGCGTCCGCCACTTGAACTGTGACGTGGTTCATGGCCATACCGATGGGCGGTCCGGAGTCCTTGGGAAGCGCACTGCCGCCGTACGTGAGGGGAAAGGTGAACGTTGTGGTCGTTGTAAACTGGACAGCGCCACCGCGAACGCGGACGTCGAGCTCCATGGACGGGATGTCGTGTACGACGAGGGAGTTGCAGTCTACGGTGACTGGGCTGTCTGGAAGATGCCGCGGAAGTGCGTCGTGTTTCGCGGGGGTGGTCATGCACTTTGACAGCATGAGCAAGTGAGGTCGTCGTCAGTGGGGTTGTGTTTGGCGTTCCGTGAATGAATTTGCACGAAAACCTGCAAGGACACAATGACACGGTCGCGAGAGTGATGGTAGGTGGAAACAAGAAACCGAAAAAATATTGAAATGTATGGGAGTTAAAGCCGAGAAAAGGTTCAAAACAGATTTTTTTGGGCTAAGTTTAGCATTTTTTTGCGAGCCGAACGGTTTCGACGAGGATATAGACCAATCAAATGCCAGCAATTTGTCGTGACGACGCTGCGTCATGACATTTGAGATGGGGTGGTTAAGGGAAGATCGAATTGGCAAGGACAGTAACGTTATTGCAGCACACCTCGATGCCGCCGGCCAAAATGCATCGATCGGCGCTTCTTCCTTTGCTCTTCCCGGGGGTTGGTCATGGTGGCTTTGAGTTGGCCCCATCGATTGAACCTTCGCACCGCCCTATACCGACGGGGATCGGCATCACGACGAACGACGCCGCGCTTTATGACGTGATAGTGCGACTGATTTAGTTGGATCATCGGACCAGAGTCTTTCTGCACTGCATTGCCACCGAACCTCGCCAACCTCGTTATACGTGTACATGGTAGTTGTGGAGAACCACTCGACGGACAATCCAAACATTTCCACATGAACGAGACTGTGGTCGATGGACGGCACGACACATGGCGCCTTGTGGTGGTAAGCATGACGTTGAAGCCCGAGTACTGTAGCAGCGGTGGCGAGCACCTAGCTGTGTGAGCTTTCGTGTCAAACGTTCTCTGTGGGGTGTCATGGCGAAGTTTATCTTGATTAAAATATACTACAGGAGGGAACACCACACACTTGCCATTTGACATATTCGACCAGCCAATCAAACACGTTTGACGGCCTGCTCTGCGCCGATGATTGGTCAGATCAACTTCAACCATACATAACAACTATCGCCTCCATCAAGTCATACACCAATTGACATGCGTATACTCTAACTTCGTCAATGAAATACGAGGTGGTAGCCATCATCGAGCAAATCCATGCGCCATTTTGGTGTGTGTATGACTTGTGGCCACGTTTGTGATGAAACATTGTTTGGGTGGGGGCGTCTGTGATGTCTGTCCTAGGGCTGTTGGTTGTGGTTGTCCAATTGCGTGGATTCGAAGTTATCGCTATATACATTGTCCACCTTATGCCACCAGTACAGTTGTGCACACTTGTCCCTGGTGGCTGAACGTTCTTGGGACGTTCACTTGCATTATAGAGGCAAGTGTATCCATCTCAGATATATGAATGTGCAGCATCGCATAAAAGGTGGCAGTGTGTCTGTAGCAGTATATGTCTCATCATCCTTGAACGTCGTCGAGACTTTGTCAAGGGAAGCAAATACATCCAGTGTGGCCAATGTCCGCAACTTGGCTGGCTTTTGTTTGCGAACTACGTTAAACACTACGTTAAACCCGTTTCTCATTGGAGGAAAGAAGGTCGCCCTGGGTACGTTAAAACATTAAAACGCATTCTGCCACTACCATTTGGTGGTTGGGCTGTTGGAGCCAGGGCAGGGGACAGACAGTGGACAGCGTCTCATCCCTGCCACCACCACCACACCGCTGCATGAGTTCATTTGTGAATTGGACAATTCGAGAGACACATGCTCCCGATGTCAACTCCGCCTTCTACCCCCGCCACCATGGGCACCGGTAGCTTGTGCGTGACCCAACCACCGACCAAGGCGGTCCAGTTCACCACCACCACCACATACATCTTCCACACAGCTCTGGGCGGTAGTGCACTTCCCACGGAAACCGGACCTGCGTTGGGCCTGGCACGACGCCATTTTGACATCCACGTCGCGGACCTCCCATCGTCCAGGTATTGCCGCCGCGGCCGCGTTCGAAAGATCGGCCACCACGAACGCATTGACCTACTCAAAGCGGCGGGGTTCCCAGTGAAGGACATTGCAGAGTTCTGCAGCGAAGCCATCGACATCCGACAGTCTCGAGCCGCCACACGGATCGAAGCCAAGCTCAAACGAAAGGTCGAGGCCGACATGGACGGCGCAGCGTCGAAACGACAGCGGCGCGTACTCTGCTAGGGGGATGTACATATCGTCACGGCGAAAGCCTCCCACACCACATGTAAATTAATCGAATCTAACTTTAAACGGAATCAATACTTCTATACCTATTACATTGGTATTGTTACACGATGCCATACCATCTTTTGCCCAGGACTTTTGTGATAAATCTATCGATCGATTCTTTGTTCTGAATTTTGTATGTAAACAATGATTGGAATCACACTAATTGGATTCACACACTAATTTGACGTTGATGACGGTTTCCTGCAATCTGATTGGCTCAAAACTTCTGCCCATTCTTCAGTAACTACATTTCCGATAAGGTTATAGGAACCCGAGGATCCGGTTATTAGGAAGTTTCTGTTTCCAGCTCCATTCATGTTGGCACGAAATCCGTGGAGTTTGCATTTACTACGTAGTACTTCGAAGTATTAATTTCGCGAATATGGCACTTTTGCATGTCCACAGTAGCAGATCCGTGCAACCAAAGATACTATTAACTCCAAGCATTCTGATGTTCTGAGTCAGGTCTGAGGTTCACAGGTAGCGAAACGAACGTCGAGAGACTGCCACGTCATGATATCACGAAACGTATACATGCCGGCTTCTTTATCGAAGATCCCACCAACCAGTACCCGTCGTATTGCCGAACATTATCGTGATTAACGTTACATACAAACCGACAGTGTACTTTCGAACCTCGGCCGAGTAGTCGGAACAATCGGTTACGTTTCGGGTTTGAGGCGCGCCCGCATTTGTTTCGAATGAAATGGTCCCGACCCCAGGCTGCATACGTCGATTTCGAAACTGACCGTGCCTTTCCCCACCTCATCCACTATCTCATCCATGGCCGCTACGAACAACAAGTCCACGACGACTTTTACCTCCCCTTCAACCCCACGCAATGTGACCACAACAACTTGCCGTCCTCCTTCATCCCCCACGCCTACCTGGCAGTCCAACGTCGACATCCCCACACGCCGCACGATGATCCACAAGCTGCTGTGGGTGTTTCAGCACAAACACCAAGCGATGCAGCGTCTCCTCTCGGCCAGCCTCGACCCGTCCCATGGCTTAACCAGTCGCCATCCCCCGCCAATGGTGGACGCCCGTCTGCCATCGCTCGTGCGTCGTCTCGAGCTCGCTCTGTACCTGCGCGCAGCCTCGTTAGACGAGTACTTGAACGAACAGTCGCTCCATCGCCGCGTCCAGCACTTGATCGTGTCGTTGCATCACCAAACGGTGCTGCATTTCCGCGCTCAAGAGGGGCTGCTCAAGCGCCCGCGTCCGTCCGACGACGACGACCTCCTTCCCCACACGACGATGCCTGCCAAAAAGCACCACAGCCATCGTCTTCTACCTCAAGGCATCCTCTTTCTCAACAACCAAGAGCACGTGCTCGGCGTCGTGTTTTCGTTCCTCGATGGCGTCGACGTCGTGCGCTGCATGGGTTTGAATCGATTCGCCGCGTCGGTCTTGCCTCTGCACGTGCGGTACCTCGACTTGTCGTGGGTCCAGTTCACGTCGGCCGTGCAACGCCGCCTGCAACGATTCCAGAAACTCGAACGGCTGGCCATATCCCCCCCTCGTCCGTCCCTTTCGACCACTTTAAGGACCACCAGCAACGAGTGCTTGGTCGAGCAACTTGCTGCCGTTTTACCGACCCTCAAAAATCTTCAACAACTCACTCTCGCCAACGTGTACATCCACACGGACGACGTCAACGCAACGTCCGCCCTTTGCCGCGCATTGCACTCGTGCGTGTCCCTCACACACCTCAATCTTTCTGGCAATGCCATTGGGGACTGCGGCATGTCGTCCGTTGCTGCGTTGCTGCCGTCGTTGCCGAGCTTGGTCTACTTGGATCTCCGACGCAATTACATCGGCGAAGGCGGGATGCTGGCACTGGCGTCGATACTTCAAACGGGCGGCACCCCCCTGCGCCTCCACACGCTGCTTCTGGGGTCGAATATTGCCGCCAACTCGGTGAACGCCGTCGCAGCTGGCGTGGGCCACCGCCGCCTACAGTACCTGCGGGTGTTGGGCCTAGAAGACAACTTTGTCGACTTGAAGGGCGTCGAGGCGCTGGCCAGGGTGCTCCAGCAAGGCGTGTGTCCCATGCTCCAGGAGCTCTGCATTGGCGACAACGTCGTGGACAACCAACGAATTCGGTCCGTGTTTGCCTTTGCCAAGCTCGCAAAAAACAACGACTAGTAGGACTACTTACGGTAAGGGTAATGACTAGTACTCCGGAGTACTAGTACATACTATTAATAATAATTTTAGGACCTAGTTCCATTCAACGCGTTCGATTGGTCAGTACACCACTGGCCATGATGTTCGGGGGAGAGCTACAAGAATGGTCACATTTGCTTTTCAGCCCAAATGTCCCTCTTGGACTTGATTAAAGTACGAGCATGTCTCACCAGATGGAAAATAATTCTTCGACCTATAATTGAGATGGTACATCGCAGGAAAACGAACTGGTGTCCTCATGTCCACATATTTGTTCGCAAATACGCTGTTCGCGTTTGCGAGACGAGTGAAACCAGTGAGTGGTAGCTATCTTTCACTTAACGTGACACAAGTTTCCCCATTCAAATTCGTACTTGAGCTCAGAATATACAGGGTGATCAGCTGATGTCATTGTAAACACAAAGTCAATAGCAACATGATTGTACGGTGTTAACGTGGATTTTGCGAGGCTGGCGGGACTTTGATTAAGATCTGGGATAAAAAAGTTTGTAACCCCATATTTTTTGAAGTATGTTGAATATTTTTAGTGAAAAACGCTAGAAATGTAGCCTGAATCAAAATTTACGATTTGCACCCAATCAGAATCGTACATTCATAAAATTTGATTTCTTCACACGTCCTTGAACCAAATGTGACAATTCTTGGTGGACATGTTTTGAGATGCGGTCAAGCGCATCGTAGGATGCTAGGACATCAATGATTGCATCCAGCTCCAGATGGATGACGTGGACGATGCATGGTTCTGTGGAGGTCGTGGGGTGAGATCGTACTGCTGCATTCGTTCTTCAAGCTGCTGCAAGTCCGTCGCTCGTTGGGCATCTATGGCGGCTTGGTCTTCGGCATTGATCGGCAATGATCGGACCGACGTGTCGAAGCAGTGTCGATGCCAGTTCAACAGGGCTTTCATCCACAAGGTGGTGGCGGCCGACGTCGGCGCCGAAAATAGGAGGAACTGCTCTTTGTCATGGGAAGTGGATGAGTCAGAGTATGGCGTCAAGTGAACCACAAAGCGACAAGGAAGGCCGTTGCCATCGTTGAACGGTATGATGTCCACTTCAACGGTATGCCGCGTCAACGAGATAGTATGCATCAAGTGCGCTTCCAGGCGGTCCGGCGCCGCGTAGAGCTTGATCACGCCTTCCTCCAACGCCACGTATCGGATGTCGCCTACGTTGTCGGCGATCGCATCGAGGTGGAGGAGGTAGCCCTCGCGGATGCCACCGGCCATCTCACGTGCCAGCGAAAAGGCGGATATCCGGAAAACCGTTGATCTTTATCCGGAGAGCTACTGGTTCTACCATTCTATTTTCGACGTTGAAGATGGTCTTGTGGGAATATTTGCAGAAAATGCATATATAATATATTTTGAACTAGCATATTATGACCACAACTGTTTCACATTTGGCGCGCGTTACTTCGGCCTTAATCTTATATAAACTCAGATGCCAACGGGCAATGAAGATGGCGGAATGCTACCATGGTAATGCGATCAAGAACAGGACAGGTTAAGCTAAGAGTCCGAGGTTACATCGTGCCATGGACGACAAATGAATGCCAATGGTAGTAGTAGTTAGTGGTGGTGGTAAATTACAAGTGGTGCGAACTTGGATGCCCTACGACTCATCGTCCAGAGTGTCGTCGTCGTCGCTCGAACAGGCTCCATCGAGGCATCGCCGTTGCCTTCGCGCCTCGGCATCGCGTTTGTGTCGTTTCCGCTTGAAATCTTCGACGGTGTCGAGCCTGCTCTTGCGCACATCGATCGCGTCGAAGCAAAAGTCAGTGATTTCCTTGACTGGATACGCGGCCGCTTTGAGCAATGCGATGCGTTCAACGTGGTCAAACTTTCGTACCGTTCCGTACGAAGCAGTGAGGTCGAGGCATTGGGTAAGATCCGTGTCGGTCGAGTCGCAGTGACGCCGCGCGAGGCCAATAGGTGGTCCACTGTCGATGGGGACGGCCGATCCGCCGTACGCCACGTCGAATAAGTATGTCGTGGCAGTCGTGAATTGAACGCGCTGGGTCAGGGTGCGCTTGCGTCGGCGGCGGGGCAGCGAGCCAAGTGGCATGAGGGCTGGACCGAGTCGAGATGTGTGTGATAGAACGCAAATTGGAAAATGATCCTACGAATACACGGGGTCAAGTTCGGGGTAGGGGTTGGTGGAGGGGTGAGTTTAGTGTAGGAACACAATGTATGACCATGAGAAGGGGGGACATGACATCACGGCCATACAAACATCAAGACGATTTGGTGGGACAACAAGATATTATGAACACCAAGCAGAAGCTTGCAATATGTATGCTGGTTGGATAGACGAAATAGTTCAGATCAATAGTTTGAACTCTTTCGCTTCGAGATCTGATTGGCTAAAAGTATTGAGTACAAAATATACTTCTGGACAACTTATGTATGTAGTACTAAAGTATTGATACTCCGAGTAGTATGGACGCAATGTCCTTAAATTGGATATATTTTGAGCACTTTGTGCTAGCCATACAAAATACCGTATGATTGGAACTACTTTATCCGTGACAACACCGCATACAGTACGGTATGACACATGTGTGAGTCAGGGCCAGTTCGAAGTACATAGTCAAACAGGGGTGCGAAGTGTACTGATTGTCTCCGGTCATTATAGTATTACTCAACGCTTATTGGTCGAATTCTTTGTTTATTCGGTGTGTGTACGGTATATCCCAGAGACCACTAGGAGGTATTCGATGTGCGGGCCAAAAGCAAAAATATTCCGGCGACTTGGAGTGATTTGATTTGTCAAGTCTCCGGAAAATGGGTACATACTTCGAACTGGCCATGCAGGTAGCATGTACTGCGATGGAACAAGAAGATGGCGTGGTTGTGGCACCATACATACATCTCTGTACGATAGAACACCGGCGCAATGTGTCATTTGTAATATCAAAAGTTGTTCATGATGACCAGTGAATTGTGCAATTTGGTCCCGAGAATAGCAGATATAACTTCGATTTGCACTTTTCAAATGTGCAAAAGCGAGGGAGTTGCATAAATGACCTCCCTATAATCTGTAAACGAAACGTGACATCCTAAATCACGGTTCGGATTATCTAAAACACTGGGGTCGATGTAACAAACACCCAGGTTTATGGTGTGAATAGCCAAAACGAGTGAAAAGCACGTTATGTTATTGTCCTTTTACCCAAAAGTTGGAATGACAGAATCGCCAAATCTATCGATCGATTCTTTGTACTGGTACATTTTGTATGTAAAAAAGTGTCCTGTGGTCATTGGTATATCACACTTATTGAAGACACACACTAATTTGACGTTGTTGATGGTTTCCTGCACTCTGATTGGCTCAATCCTCATGTTGCTCCAGTTTAGAATAAACACATTATTGTCGATTTGATACAAATTTGGGGAGGAGGTGCAATACAGTAATCGAATCGCGCCAACCAAACCGATCCACAATCGATCTGATTGGTTGTTGAATTTCATTGAGAAGTTTTTGATTGGCTAATAATTTTGAGCTCATCTGAGGTAGCCAATCAAATCGAATGCCTTGACGACGAATAACAATAAACTGCACTAGTATATTCCTATTTAACTTGATCGGGTGTATATAATAAAAGTCTAATTCAACGCTTCTAAGAACGCGACAATACCCCCGTGATGGTTTTGCTTGGCATGTCGGATCGCCGATTGAATGTCCCCTTCGTGTCGTCGGGTGGCCAGAAACGTCACCACTTCCAAATGTCCATTGCGCGCAGCGATTTCCAACGCGCGGGGGGTGCACCCCTCGGCGCGATGGTCGTGGAGGAATTGTACGATCTCGAGGCGTCCGTACGACGCGGCGCGGTCCATCGCCGACGTCGTACAGCCTTCGTTTCGGTGGTCGTGCAAAAAACGCAGCACGTTAAAGTGTCCGTGTTCAGCGGCGTTGTCCATTGCGTACTTAGTGCAACCTTCCACGCGCCGGTGATGCAAAAAACGCACCACGTCTAAATGGCCATTGGACACGGCGCCGTCCATGGCCAAGGTCGTACACCCTTCTTGTCGATGTCGATGAAGAAATTGTACCACTTCCAAATGACCATTTTTCGCTGCCAGGTCCATGGCGGTGGTCGTACATCCTTCACGTCGATGGTGGTGCAAGAACTGGACGACCTCCAGATGGCCACCTCGGGCGGCCAGGTCCATGGCGCGGGTCGTACATCCATGGACATCGTTTGTGTGAAAGAAGCGCACGACTTCCAGATGGCCATTGGCGGCCGCCGACACAAATGCAGCGGCGGGGACGCCGTCATGGTGGCGGAACTGATAGAGAAATTGCACAACATTCAAATGTCCATTCGTGGCTGCGTGCAGCATGGCAAAGTGTGAACAACCTTCGGATCGATGGAAATGGAGGAATCGAACAACACTCACATGGCCTTTGCGCGCGGCTAGGTCCATGGCGTCCGTCGTCGCGGTGCTGTTGGTCGGGTTCGAGTGGAGAAGCTCTAGCATGCTCAGCTGGCCGTTCAAGGCGGCGAGGTCGATGAGATGCGGGAAGCCCTGGCATGAAGACGAAGTTGACCCTTTGGACTGGTGGGATGGGGGGTGGTGCAACAACAACGACATGACGTCCGTCAACCCAAAGTACGCTGCGTGGACCAGCACCATCAGCCGCATGTACTCCATGGACTGCACGAGTCGAAGCACCCGCGACGACCCATGCACTGCATACCAGGGAGACAACACTTCGTCCAAGTGCTCGAAGATTGGGACCAACGACGTGTCGTAATGCGTGTGCGATTCGCGGATGAGATGGTATCGCGTGAGGGTCTTGTACTCGTCCGAAGCAGTATGCAGGTGCTGGAAGCCTAGCGCATCTTCGTACAGGCCGTCTTGGAACTCGAAGATGCCGCCAAGAAGCTCCATGTTACGCAGCACAGCATCGCCAAGGTCACAGGTCCGCGTCATATCGAAGGAGCAAGTCACGAAATGGAAGCAAGCGTCGTGTAACAAAAATGCTTGGCCGGTGACTCTCTTGATACACTCTTCTTTTACTCACATTTAGTATCATACTTAATTCAGTATGTTGAAGTACTCTCTTGAGAGTGCTTTTTAATACTAATGTTTGTATTCCGGACGATATCGTTGAGGTAAGGAGCTTACTCTGCCGAGAATGCCATCGCTTGATGGACTCGCGCATGCAAGAAATGATGTCGAGTATGACTAGGAACTCCTGAGGCACTTAAGACGTAAGTGTGTTAACGTTACACTAAATACGTCCGGTAAATACTCTATCCGGATTTACCGGATAGTGTAATGAGCGACATTTGGAGTTTTGCCGTACCTTGATTGGTTGGTGTACGTTAAACATGACTCTGACAAAGAATGTGGGTGCAAAGTAAAACCGAAAGCAATTCTTCCATCGTACTAGTATGTGCACCTACATTTACTAAGTTAGAGACCTTAACAGTAATATGACATCAGATTTCAGAAATTCAGTAACGTTACGTTCGAATAGTGTACTAGTAGTAGTTGATAGTTTTGCAGCTAAATGCGCAATACAGTCATGCATTTCGTGATAATAATGTCTGCCATAAATCGAGCGAGGTAAGACATTAACTATCTACTAGTAGTACTCGAGATTACTACCGGGTAGTACCAACTTATCGTACTATGGTACCATGATTATCAATTTAATCTCCTAGCCAATTGAAGTCAAACACGATTCTCTTTGTAGCTGTGTTCTATCTATTTGCATACCGGTAGGAGTACTGTATACGAATTACAAGTGTAAGGTTAAGGTTATATATCCGGCGTTCCACCACCACCCAAGCATGCGTTGAACCTTTTTAAACCTTATAACGAAATCAAGGCAATCGATTGGCTATAACTAAAAACGATTTCAAGTTAATTGATTGGCTGTTTCTATAGATTATTCACTTTGATTGGTGGAACCTTATCCTCCGAGGGTGTTATCGTGTTACCCTTGTCAAAAGATCACTTGGCTTCACTATGGCAGCTTGCTACCTCGATGGAGTATTTGTTTTCACAGGTCTACCTTCTGTTTGGCTTTTTTCTTTCAAATTTGAACACTGCGTTGACGACGATGGCTCGCACCAAGGTCGAAGGATCGTCTGATCAGCCCCGGGAGATCTTCATGTTCGAAGGCATGAAGATCAATCGATGTGACATCTGCAAGAACCCCAAGCGACACAAGACGTGGTGTGCGGAGGAGTGGGAGACACGAAAACTGGCGTTGGACGAACGAGCCCGATTGAACCTCATCGATCAACGAGGTGTGACATCACGCCACGCTGCTGCTGAGCCGTCGTCGTCCTCGTCGATACCAAGGCAGGTCACAACCTCACGCACCGTCCGACCGTGTCCGTTCTGTCCGTGCAAGACCCGTAAGCATCTCCATCGTGACGCGCGCAGCTGCTTGTTCTATGCGTACTATAAGAAGCGATTGGCCGACGACTTGACCACGGGCATCAACCCAATCCATCGACGACCTGGCGAAAACAACTTTGACGCGTGTGCACGCGAGTTCACGCTGCTCGAAGCAACACAACCTACTACTGCGTCTACGCAGAACCAGGAGGAGCAGCCACCGTCCCGACCTTCGGCCTATGTCGAGGGCCCAACGAAGCGCCCGTGGACGATCGCAAACCCAGTAGGTCCAGATCCAACGGCGACGACAACTCCCATCGATGCCGTGCACAACACGCCGCCGTCAACTCCTACCAAGCCTGCTGCCGGCCCGCCTGGTTCTTCGACTGCCGCCGATTCCATCCTCCTCCCACCTCCGCCTCGTGTATCAACTTCCGTCCCGTCACCTTCTCGTTCCATCGACAAACCTACTGCCACCACAACGGCGTCATCGCCTGCCAAAGGTCCTGCACCTACAAGGCTGGCTACACTCAACCACCACCCATCAACCGGACCAATGGCTGCCCATAAGTCGATAACGTCGTTGAAACACTCACCTGGTCGACTCACCACGTCCACGAAACAACTCACCACCCTGGACCACCCGAACCCCCACATGGCGTCGTTCCTTTCGTGGCAGGCGAAGCGTCAAAGGCCAGCGGGCTCTTTCACCTCCATAGCCAATCCCGAACCACCGGCTACGGCAGCTCCTACTTGGATAGCCAACCCCAAACCATCGGCTACACCGGCTACGTCAGCGCCTTCCTCGGTAGTCAACCCCAAGCCACCGGCTACACTGGCTAAGACAGCTCCTACTTCGGTAGCCAACCCCAAACCATCGGCCACACCAGCTACGTCTGCGCCTTCCTCGGTAGCCAACCCCAAACCATCGGCCACACCGGCTACGTCTGCGCCTTCCTCGGTAGCCAACCCCAAACCATCGGCTACACCGGCTACAGCCACGTCAGCTAGTAATACTACAAGTATGCCACCACCACCTCCGTCGCAGCGGCACCAAGGGACAACATACCAGACGTCCACTCCAGGTACAAATCCAACCATGCCGTTCCAGCTGCAACCTGGTATGCCGCCGTACATGTGGTACATTCCTGCCATGCCACTACCACCCGCTGTTGCGGACGGAGCTAGTACTACTACTAGTACATCGTGTGCAGTGTCGTCCCATCCATCTGACTCGATTGTTGTGGTTGGTCCGAATCCATCAAGTGACCCGACGACCAAGAAGCGAAAACATCCCGAGTCGAATCTCCAACAAGGCAGCACTCACAAAGCAGTTCAAGTCGACTTGGCTCAGGTCGAAGCTGCAGAAAAGGAGCAACTCCAGCAACGACTGGACGTACTCCGACTCCTCTTAGCAGCTATCACTCGCGACCAAGACCAGGCAAAAGCCACCGACGACGCCTTGATCCGACTGCAACTGGAGCGCCTCGAAAGTGACCGTGTGATGCAAAGGGAGCGCATCGCATTTGACAAGGAACAGGCGGAGAAGGCCCAACGACGCTTTGATGCCAACCAAGCCATGATCCAGCAATTGCTCGTCCAACTTGAACAACCACCTGCCACTAGTACTAGTACTAGTTCTAGTACCTCGACCCCTACTACGACAAGGAGAGTATAGTCCATGCTGTATGACTACAAGTAGTAGTACTCTAGTATGATGAAGTATTTACAAATACACCAGGATGTATGTATGTACATTATTGCCGACGAGTTGCCCTTTTGTGTGGTGTGGTAGTTATGTGATGACGTAGATGGCCAGTTTATAGTGCACTTGAAAGAGACGTCGTCGTAGAATACAGCTTACTCGTCTCTTAGGGATTTCAATTCTGAAAAGTGCTGCATGAAGCCGAAAGGTTGGGCATTCTTCTGAGTATTTTTAATGTCAAGGAAAAATAGGAGGCACGGTTTATGGTGCACGGTTTAAGCTTAACATATGTATGCTAATTTTGCTTATTTTTTGGTAATTTCATTTTCCTAGTGATTCGATTGGCTATTTCAACATTCAATCAATTCGATTTGCCAATTTGAGTGCTAAACTGTCCCGTACACCATAAACTGGCCATTTACGTTAGTTAGTATAGTTCAGTCTGTAATACCCCCCTCCTTCAGTTCCAGCGAACCGACGACGATCCCACGACCACCTCTATTGTCGGATGTATTTTTAGTATTTTAATACTTTGGATTTAAAAATAAATTGATCAACTTTTTTTAACCAATCCAAATCCAAGAAACTTAATCGATCATGTCGAACCGAATACTCGACTCTAATTGGCTATTCACTTGGTGACGAGCGCCTACAACACACCATATGGATAGCCGATACTAATACTAACGTTTGTCCTGAGGAATCTGGATAACAAGGGCTTCATACGAAGACGAGGAGCACTCTTAGAAGAAGATCGGTCGAAGCAAGAGGTTCGAATAGTTGAGCGAAGTAAAAACAGAAGATTACACACCGCCCCTGGTGGAGCAGGCGCGTTACAGTTGGCGACGCGGTTCCACAACATGTGGTTCTAGTAATAATGATATTAATAATCGAAAACTCATTAGCGGGAAAAAGTCGGACAGGATATACAGGAACCAAGTGATCGTCCGACGGTTTGTCCGATTTCTTGGTCGCTGTAACATTTATTATTTACAAAAGTGAAGTCAAAACCCGACGTGAGAAATTGACAATGTCTTTGCAAGTGTATCCGTCGGCAACTCATAGAAAGCGCTTTCTACAGCATCAATAAGCTCCTCGATTGAACGAGTGGACTTTTGATACTGTAGACTTTGAATAGAATTAAAAAATCCTAAATCTAAGACGTTGAAATCTGGACTGTTAGGTGGTTGGTTGACGACACCAATTCCACAAACACCATGTGCTTGAAGCAACGCTGTCGTGACTCGTCGATGTGGACCTGCGTTATCTTGTTGGATCCAAGCATCACCGCGCGTGCTGCCACCAGGAAACTTTGCTTGAAATGCTGGCACAACGTTGTTGACCACCGCGTCGAAGTACATGTCAAAATTCACGATTTGAGGAACGGTGATCAACGACCTTCTGGGTCGGTTCTTACTTGATCGTGCGGCAGGAGACACTTGGACTAACGGCCACACGCCAACTTTGCCGTCCCAAATCTTCTTGGCATGATGGTCGTAACGGGGGCGGGCGACAGCAGCCAAAAACATCACCTTCGTAATGAAATGCTTTGACTTCACCGATCTTGCGGCCACTTCCTCGTCATCATATACATAGTACCTTCGCTTGACCTTTGTCAAATAGAACCACTTTTCATCGATATGCACATATTCGTGCATATCGGAGAAGCAGTGGCGTCCATTTGGCAAAGGTCGAACGAAGGGCAATGCATACCTCAAACGAGCTTTGATGTTGCCTTGCGTAAGGAAGGGCTTGACATAGCTTGACTTAGACTTGAACCTTGGTGTGACCTTCTTGTGTTGGAAGATCGTCGTCATGGGTATTCCACTCGCAGCAGAGAGCGACCGAAGTGTCTGTCGCGATATGTGGGGCACTGCACGTATGGCGCTTTCAATGTCTTGAGTCGTTCGCTTAGGGTTTCGGCCAGTATTCCCTATTGAAGTAAACCTTTAATATTTTATAATTCGTACAATTAATATATTTATAGATTTATAGAGTACTACCACGCATTTTCGTGCTAACATCGGCGGTGTGGCCACCGCCGCGAAGCGAGAGTCGTGCACGTTGCCAGAGGCGAGGGATCGTCCGTACGTGGCATCCAAACTGTTGTGTGGCCTTGGTTATCACTCCACGAGGGAGCATACAGTATTACCCACGGATGCGCTTAGGAGCATTTCATATACTCCACGGCGGTCCTGCAACGTCAGGTGCTTGTGGCCGTTCTGGGGCTGTGGGGTAGCAACGGGGGCACCGGCATGTTCACCGTTGGGCTTAGCAGGCATGTTTTGGTCGTATATGTATGCACGTAGGACGTTGGAGGTGTCAAATTGTAATGTGAACTACTGGCGGGTCATGGACAGTGTTTTAGGGATGACTCGCCAACTTTGAGGTGTCATATCTCAACAACCAAATCGACCTGGAAGGCTCAAAAACTACCCAATCAAAGCTGAGAGCTTACGCGTTTTGATGCGCCAATCAGATAAGAAAATGGCGTCATATTAGAAAATTCCGCCAATCGGAAGTGCAAAGTGACAAATGTTTCGGAACAGAGTAGTACAGTACAGTGGGTAAATGATAGTTTTTGTCAAGGGGGCGCACTTTACAGGGTGTTATCGCCTGCACTTTAAGGGATATGTCTCATACAGTATGTGCGCTTCGGTGTCTGAGCAATCAGCGGTCATCTCCTCGTAGCTAGCCAGTAGGGTAGGGGAAATACTCCGTACCACTTATCCTAATTCACTCTTCGATTTTCCCTGTTCTGTCCTCCTGGACATCCGCTGTACTCTGTCGCTGCCCTCCTCTTCCCCTTCTTAGTGCTTGGGCCTACTTTGCCTTCGTGACAGTTTTCATCAGGGGGGGTCAATTTAGAGCATCATCTCCACCATTTGACACAAAACACAACGTACCGGTCAAAAATTATATACTTTTGAGTTTGGATCCCCGCCGGGAGACTGTATACAATGAGAACGATACCGTTCATTGCGAAATCTCCTTATTGTAAGGAGATTTCGCAATGAACGGTATCGTTCTCTTTCCGCTCAGACGAAAAAAACTCTCTTTGATCAAATTCCGGAACGACAAAACATGTCTACAATTGGTGTATACTCCGGAGTAAAATGGCTGGCTGAACTACAGTCTGTCCTTCAAAAAACCTCTAGCAATGCATCAACATGTATAAACTTTCAAAGCGCTTGGTGACGTGCTCCACAATCACAAACATGAGTGTCGAGCACGACACCAAGAAGAAGAAATGGACGTATGACGAGGACAGTGTGCTCAATACACTAGGCCTCCATAACATGACAACTGTCTCGGCTTGGCATGACAACAACACCTGGTAAGTGGAGCAGCAGCAGCACCTCCTATGATTGGACACCGGCGACGTCAAAACGAAAGGACTCGGTCGAGTCCACTCCATTAACACGTGTCCAGGCGAAAACGAACGTCGGGGATAACGGGACGTTCAACCCACTACCCCAACTACTCAACAGGTTCCACAGTTGTATGAGCAACAATCGACGCTGCTGTTGACGGGGCTTTGTTTTAAGCAGCCTCCTCACGACTGACACCACCAGTGTTGTCTCGTTCGACATGTGCCCATGCTGATCCAATATCCGGATAATTTATTCGTATATTTTAATGGAAATATGCTCTTGCGAAATCATAAAATATCTACCATTGTCATTGCGTGAGCTGAACGCGAACAAATAACTGACGATTGCGAAATCTCCTTCAATATAATTTACAGTCGAGGCCAAAATGGCACTAAATTTGACACCAAACATAAACACTCAATTAGATTTCGAATTGATTGGACAAAAGCATGCTTGTCGGACCCAATCGTAATGCTACGATAAGATTGGCACTTGAATGACCTGATTGAATGAGTGGGAAGAAGAAGGGCAAGAACTTCACCGAGGCTGGCGAGGAACAGGTCGCACGTTCATGGATAAACAGCGCCCAGGATACAGATGTTGGTACTGGCCAGAAGTCGGACGCATTCTGGGTGCTGGTCCAGGCTCACTACGCAGCCAATGTCGTGGGCGACAGTCCTGATCGACCACGTCGCTCACTTGCGTCTAAGTGGAACCAAATCCGACACGCACGAAAGCGGAACAAACGAAGAAGACCGCATCGATCGCGCCTTACTCCTGTACAATGAAGATCATCCGAAGGGCAGCGACTTCGAGATCTTGAATTGCTCGAACATTGTGCGCAGTGTGCCCAAGTGAAACGCGCTACGAGATGGCGTTGGCGAACATCCCAGTGCTCGCAAGTTTGTGAAACACCAGAAGCTCGATTTGGAGTCGGTAAAACAAGAGGCCAGTGATGTCAAGGAAGTTCTGGCAGAATCACAGCGCCCCTGCGCGCAAACGTTCGATCTGCAGAATCATATATCGTTGTTCTCGGCAAACCTGGACACAATGGACGAGAACAGCAATAAGTTTTTTGCTTCGACTCGTAAGCTTGTTCTTGACGAGCTTAGTAAGGATGCCGACGACTCCGAGGTTGAGATAATACAACAACTAACACAATCATCGTTTAGTTGATTTGCATATATGTATGGAGATGCCAGTAGACACAGGGCGATGTAAGGTAATTTGACTGAGCGGGGATGTGAAGTTAGGAAGATGCGGGAGGATGCGGAGTTGAGGGACGATGCGGGATGATGCGGAGATGCGGGAAGATGCGATGAGTAAAACCAAAAGTTGATATGACACTAGCTAGATTGTAGCGATGTGACAGGTGGGTTAACGGCTTGCCACCACCTTGCCCGCACCCAGCTCCTAAGTACCTGGCTCATGACGAACCCTAGCTAATGCTTGCCTGGGAATGTGTCTCAAGGGCAAGTATGGCTTAGAATCGCTAGCCTAGTGAAGTTCCCCAATGTCTCAACCACACCCGCATCCATTGTATACAAAAATGCATATTAGTGTAGAAGTAGTGAAGTAGATTAAGACGATTTCATAGTGATGAGGATTAAGGAGATCTTTGTAGATCTTCAGTTAATTCATTGTGCATTTTGCCCTCAACTACGCACGCTTCCTCCTGCAGTGCTATATTTGGTAGCACTTCCTGGGTACCTCGCCCAAGCCCCGTTCAACTGCTGTAGCTGTACGTAGCCAGTGTTCTTAGACGGTTGTTGTGGTCGTTTGCAGAGTCTACACATCGCCAAAGTTCCGACGAATCTGTACGCAAGTGTGCGACATGACTGAGCGCGACAAGGTGTCCTGGTTCCAACGCGGTCTGCGAACAAGAACTCGTGAGGAGTTGCAGTATCGTCGTTGTGAGACTGTGACTCTCGCGATCCAAGTTGCCCTGGACTATGAACGCTCCCACAACTCGACCCTTAATGGTGGTCACGCCAGAGACCGCGACCGCTTTCATCGCCACGATAGCCGCCCGCATCAAGTATTTCAAGATCGCCGCCATCCGTTCAACAACGTCAACACAAGTGAAGTCGAGCCTGAACGAATCGAACGATGGATGATTAAAGTCACGACGAAATCTGAACCTCGGCAGAAGTTACACCCGCTCGTGACGGGTTTCCCGACAAGTTACCCAACACGTTACCACCGCCGCGTGGGATTGAGTTTGATTTGACAATGAAGCCTGACGCGAGACCCCAGCACCGACCCCCGTTCCGTTTGTCCAAGGTAGAAGCAGGTTCTTTGGACACGTTCGTCGACGATCTGTTGCAAAAGGGCTGGATCGAGCTCTCGAACAGCGACTGGGTATCCAACATCTTCGGTGTTCCCAAGCGTAGTGATGATGGTCAGATGCTTTCACGCCGTGAGTGGCTTCGTACCGCCACGCCCGACACTCCTATATGATGGGTGTTGGACTACCGCCATGGCAACTCTCAGTCCATCGTGCCGAAGCTCCCGCTGCCCAATATTGAAGACCTGTTTGACCGTATGCACGGATACCGAGTATTTATGAAGATCGACTTTGCGTCTGGCTACCACCAAATCCTCGTGATGCCATCAGCAAGGAAGTACACCGCATTCAGGACCCATCGCGATGTTTATGAATGGGTAGTGGCCCCAATGGGTATGGCAGGCATGCCAGGCATCTGGTCTCGCCTGATGCGTCGATTGTTTGACAAGTTCGACTATGTCGTGGTGTACATGGATTACTACCGCAAGTTCATCCCCGACTTCGCGGAGCTCGTCCGTCCCCTTAGTGGATTGCTGAAGAAAGGTGCCAAGTGGCACTGGGGCGAGGACGAGCGTCGAGCGTTTTTGATAATAAAGTTCGCGTTGCAGCAAGCCCCTGTTTTGCAATTACCTGACTACGACAAGCCTTTTGTAGTCACCACCGACGCCTCTGGTTTCTGCTGTGGTGCAGTCATTTTTCCCAGCTCGACGGCGACGGCAATGATCGTCCCGTTGCTTTCATGTCCAAGCGCCTCGGTCCTCACGAACAGAATTGGCCCGCCCACGAAAAAGAATTGTACACCATTAAGTTGGCTCTGGGCAAGTGGCGCCATTACCTGCATGGCAATCGGTTCGATGTATACACCGACAACTCTTGCTGCAAGTGGTCCATGACAACGCCTGTCCTTATGCCCAAGTTGACGCGTTGGCTTGACTTTTTCAGTTGTTTCGACTTTGCCCTTCATCATCGTCCGGGCAAGTTAAATGTGGTAGCTGATGCCTTGTCTCGGCCTCCACATGCCACCTCCACCGTTCACCACCTCTCAATCCACGCGTGTGGTATCCACTGTGCCTCAGTCGCAGCGCGCATCAATCGACTTATTGTCTATGCCTCGGCTCTCTCCACCTTCACGACTCGTGGCATCGCCGTCATTGTCGACTCTCCTTTTTGGGAAGAGGAGTTGGAGGAGCAAAAAGGAGTGCTAGTGCCTCAACGCCTAACGGTGAACCACTCGAAGCAAGTGTCCTTTAGCACCATCGAGATGGACACCAAAACCAAGGAGCGTTTTGTGAAGGCGTACGCAAAGGACTCAGG